AATAGATAGATAGATAGATAGATAGATAGATAGATAGATAGATAGATAGATAGATAGATAGATAGATAGATAGATAGATAGATAGATGCTGCATTTATGTTGCCAGTGCTATTTTCTGAAAGTTGCCGCACTATCATTATTTGTATCCGTAATATTTAACCTTTACAACTACTACTCTAAAGTATTTAGCCAACATTTGATCCCATTTTTCTCTCCAAATTCATCCAAAGATCAAGCAGAAATGGATGTGGCCAACGATGATTCTCTGTTTAAGGAAGAACAGTTCTTAAGAGTGAAGTCAACATTCACGCAGAGAGCCCCACAGTCCCCAGCTAATCATATACCTCAGGGTCCAAATCAGCTGACGCAGTCAGACCAAATGGGACTCATTTCCGGGAACGCCCAGGCGGGATTTTCCGACCTTTCTCCTCAAACTGGAAGTGATGCAAACACAGGGTCATTTCCCGGGGAATATTCCGATTATCTGGAAGACCCTAAATCTAAAAACCTTTCAAATATGCCAAAAGGTTCGCAAGGAAATTCCAAAGATCAGTTTTTGTGGGAAGAATGGAAAGAGCTTTCAAATGAAAACGATGAGTATCTGTTCATGTCTGAGGGCGGTGAAGGATATCCGCTACTGAGTCGAGGCAAAAGACAAGCTGGAAGTGGAGAAATCACAGGTATGTATGGTGTATGCCAACCCCCCTCTCCCCAAACCACGCTGGCTTTTTCCTTCGTCTCATCTATGAGCCCCATCTCTCTCTCTCTCTCTCTCTCTCTCTGTCTCCTTCCCTATTTATGTTTCTCTTCTTCTCTTTCCCCTGTTTTGCGCCTTTATTTCTCTCCCCCTTCCCCTTTCTTTCTTTCGGTAAAAAAAAACCCAACATTAATATTATTACTATTTTTTTTGTAGATGGTTTTAATTTTTTATACTGTTCTGCTCTTTAAAGTGAATCTTGAGGTGTTGCCATTTTCGATTGCGTTGCTGTTGCTATGGTTGTTGTTGATGCTGTTGTCGTTGTTTTTGTTGTGGGTTATTTGTTGGTTGGTCGTCCCTATATAGTGTACGTCTTTCATGTGTTACTACTAGTAACGTTCTAATCAGTTCTTAACGAAATACGATAAATTACCACCATGAGAAAAGCCATATTTGAAACAAAGAAAAACTTTCCCTTTTCTTTTACGTTTGATCTATCTATCTATCTATTGATCTATCTATCTATCTATCTATCTATCTATCTATCTATCTATCTATCTATCTATCTAATCTGTATATCTATCTGTGACGCCTTTATATCGCATACTCAAGATATGTCACGTTCTTCCACAGTGGATTTCAGATTTGTGATCTTATCCATCACTTTGCCTACCCGGAGAAAAAGAGCAGCTACTGAGGCCGAACTCGAAGCCGATATCGAGACATCAGTAAGTGGCCCTACAGTTACTGATCTGATTGAGAATATTTGACAAAATGGTGGCCGTTTAGGTGGTGGGCTGCGTCGACCGTGCCTGCCAAGACCAGCCCCCGCTGAGTGGGATACGGTATACCAAGTAGAAAGTCTGGGACAGTCGATGAATTTAATAATTTCCCTACCCAAGAATCGAATTTACGTCTTCTGCGCGCGACGGCGAAGAGCTTTACCATGACGCGAGAGATGTAAACCAGAGAGGGGTTACAGTTGCATTACTGTAAAACTCAAACTCTCCGATGTAAACCTAATTCGCTAAGGAATGCTATCATGCCACACCGTCATCTCTCACTGACTAAATGCTGTAGTGTTTTCTTGTTTTCATTATTATTAATTGTCATCAATACCTGCTTGTCTGTATTTTATGTATCATCTCATTGTATCAAATCCTCATTCTTTTCTTTAAACTTTAGTAACGAGTAGTAATCCTCGTACAATAACAATACTATGTCTAAAGCTTGAAGCCTGTCTTTTTATGCTAAAAGGCCTAACGTTTTCATATTTTAAACAAAACCTACTGCGGGACCTGTCAGTCTGTAAATTAGTCTATTCAATGTTTAAGGCCATATGCCCACATCACTTCACATTAAACACTCATTTGTTAAAAAAAAGTTTCCATAATAAAAAAAAGTACAGATTGTGCACATATCTCTTATCACGGGTCAAACATTGCATATTTCTATCACTGGGAGGAACAAATTTCCACCGATCAAGCTTGTTATTTAATGGACTATTGTGAGCTTTTTACAAGGCTATGACTCTTCTGTTCAAGTAAAGTGGAGGGGATTGATGGTATACTCAGCTGTTTCTTGAAACGGAATTGTAAAAGAGAATAAATTATACATGCGACAGACTTCTTCCTCTATATTTTGCGCAAAATGATCGGCATTTTTATTTACTTCATTGGGAAACAATTTAGTGCTTCCAACATTTTGAGAAAACCAGGCATATCCTAACCCGAGGGAAAATAATAACGCACATGCTGGCTCGCTTTTTCTAGGCCGGGCTGAGGGGGCGTGGGCTTAATTTTGACGCGGGGGG